GTCGGACTTCGCAGCACGGATATGAGAAGAATGTCCCGTCTTCGTGACCCAGCGGAATACGTCGCGAAAGCCAAACACCGATGGGCCGGTCACATAATGAGAAGAACAGACGACAGATGGACACTAAGAACATCGGAGTGGATTCCTCGCGAAGCCAAACGTCCCCGAGGAAGACCTCCAACGAGATGGGCAGACGTGTTCGTGGAACGCATAGACCAGCTGAGAAATCAGCTGGATACGATTTTTGCACCTGGAACTCGTGGACGCAGCCACCGACGTCAGCCAAGAAGATCGTGGATGTCAGAAGCGAGGGAACAGGGAAAAATGGAAACTTCTGAGCTGGGGCCCGCACGTCACGTGAAGCCGGGCCATCTAAGTATCTAAGTAAGTATATAAGATGAAAGGTGCCATCCTCGCCCTGACGCCGTCAAACCACATGTAAGAAAAGTGGCCCTCACAAAAAGGGTTAATTGCGCACCGAGGTTTCAGTTCATTTTTCGAGCTCTACGGACCTTCCTTTACCAGCCACCAAATTCTCCATTTCCTCGGTGCCCATTGAAAAATAATAGGACCCAATAAAAATTAGTTTGTCAAAAATGCCTTTTTAGGTTTTATTGATTCCCCTAAGATGATTTCGCAAGGAAAAAGCACATGAACACTACAGTAATTTACCAGAATTCTGCTGAACAAATGAAATTTACTTGGAAGAAAAAGATGGGACCTGGAAAAAGTTCGTTGCTCGTTTGAATTTAGAGGTGCGAAAACGAAAAACTTTCCGAATGACCTAATAGAAACGAGTGATTGTAATTTCCGGCAAATATCTCGTCATTTTCTCAAAAAAACACAACGGGAATTTAGCAGCTGGAAAGAGGAAAAAATTCTACATCGGATACTTCTTGAAGTTTGTTTATCTTCATTCTAGCGTGCTTGCCAATGGATTGAAAAAACTGACAAAACTTTTGCACCAAGAATGGCTTTATAATTATGTCCAGCACTGTACTAGCGATTGCGACGACAAGAAATCGCGAAGTTAAAATTGTTTGGTGTATGCCCGGCCCATTAGATCGACTATGCAGAAATGTTCAACATTTGCACAGTATTTACCCTGCTACAGTTTTCGCAAAATTTGCTTTACATCAGCAATATCGTCCTCTATCATGTCTGCGTTCGGGGGGAACTGTATCAACAATACAAATTTCAGTTTGTGGTTGGACCAAGCTATTTGTACATAAGCTAGCATAAAGTACATTTTGAAAGTAAACAAAAGCTATGAAGAGGTCTTATCTGCAATAATGGACATATAGACATAGCTGAAGCCAAATAATTTGTCTGACTCAGTTTGTACGCCCAGAAAAGAGTTGTTCTAGGCCGCTGCACATCTCGATTTGCAAAATCTTTATGGTTTCATTTTGATCAACCTTTCTTGAAGCCTGAGTCATCAAAGGAAAGATGGGTAGAAGGAGATCTGAGTGGCGTTATGGCATGGTCTGTACGTTTCTATGGCAGAAAGGCGGTTATACTAGCTATATAATCTTGGCATCTGATTCCATGCGAGAATGGAATGTAAAAAATTAAATGTCGGCCCCCAGCTATAAAAAGAGCGGAGCATTGCAGATATTCAAACACGTTAGTAAACTTATTGAACTTTTGTTTCAAGGCACTTGGTTTCGTACTCTTGCTGTAAGAAGTCGCGCGCGTGTGTTAATATAACAAAAAATCTTTTATTTTTTTACCAAAAAACCTGATAAAAATCAGCTAATTAGATACAGTTTATTGACAGTGTTTCAAAAAAATGTCCACTTCTTCGTCTCAGCTCCTCCAGCCTTGGGTGTATATCGTTTGAAGGCAGTGTCCGGGCAAGATGGGGGTTTGGGATTTCAGCGCCATGCGAGAGTGGCCCCCTCAGACACGCCTCGCACAAGTGCGACGTCAAAACGCTCGACCTGAAGCAAGAAGAACGACCGGAAATTGGGGAAACTTACTCCATGGGGCGGGGTCCTTTGAGCTGTCCAAATTCCTGCTATGCGCAGAGTACGCATGCCGCCACAGTTAAAATGTAGGGTCCCGCAGCGACTCTGTGTCTCTGCCTTGGTGGGGACCGTCAAATTTCAAATTGTGCGGCTTTGGAAAACGTATGTTCTCGCAGTTTTCGCGCCTTCTAATGTGGTTTTTCGGATTCCGCTGGAATCCGAAAAAAAGTTGCGGATAACCCTGGTAAGTGGATTCTCTAGAAATCAAGTTTTTGCCCGGACACTGCCTTTAAGGCATGTCCAGACTAAATCTAACCCCCTCACTTAGTGCCGATCCTGAATGTAGGCTCCAGGAGAGAGCACCTGCGTTGGCCCGGTTCTCTAAGCTGTCTCTGAATGTAGATAATGGACCTGGAAAAGCCAAACTGCTATCCTCGCTCAGATCCTATCAAGCTCCGCCCACCCATGTATAAGCCGTCTGCGCCCTTAAGATAGGGTCTTCAGAAATCAGGTTTTTCGGGGATTTTGGATAATTTAAACTTCATGACTGTGATCAGGGCCACGAGGCCCCAGAATGGCAAAAATATGGGAGGCGAAATGTTGGGTAGACGCTGCCTTCAAGTCATTGATGCAGTTAAATATGGCTTTTCTCGCCTTTGTTGCAGAAAGTAGTATTTCGCGCAGTTAATTTATTCCGGAGTAATCCAAAGATAACAAGGTATTACCCACACATATATTTGGCTTCTACTAACCGTGGCGCTGATTTCAGAAATGAATTGCAAGTAACTGAAAACCGCAAAAACTCCTCGATTTGGAAGCCACAGGAAAGATAGAGCAAGCTTGGGCGAGCTCTCCTTTGGAAGTTTCATCGCATGCAATAAATAGTCTTGTCGTAGGCAACAGGGATACGGTTACAGTATGCGTTCCTGAGTGTGCTGCTATGTCGAGCTGGGACAATCTTTGAGGAGACAGGACTCATATCACTCTCGGATTCCGATCTACTTTTTTCTGAGGGCTACATTAGAAGATAGATTTAGGTAAATGCTTCACATCTAGGGCATGCTTGTTACATACTAATCGGAGAGCATGTTATTGTGTGGAGCTAATGAATGAAAATTTCGCATTTGGAGAGACAGTGGGCAAATCCACAACCCAGCTCATAAGGCCGCGCGCGATTGGCAGTTACCTCTATTTTATCAAAACGTGGACTGTTCGAGGCGTATTGCAGAGGACACAAAACGCACTCAATCTCAAGACTAATGAGGGGAGAAGGTTTCCCGAAAACCTTTCCAAGTTATGTCTATTGTAGACTGTATAACGCTTTCCGAATTCTATCCTTTGTATCTGCGGAAAGTTCCCGGATGTGGGATCATGAGCTTCTGGATAATCAATCGATAAAATCAGTTTTCACAGTCTTCTTATTAGGTCCTTCCATAAGTTCGTAGCGTTTTCATAAACCAACGAAATGACAAAGTCTTGTCAAAATTCAGTTCATAATGTATTTTCATCTGTTGCGCACAACCTCCTGCCGCCTTACCGTCAAATTTTCAACTTTGTTTTTCCAGAATTCAGTAGGTCTGGTCCCAAAAAGCCGCCTAACCAGCGCCTAAGATTGTCTTTGAAAACGGAACCAGCATCGTTCATACGGTCTGGGATGGAGAGGGACAAATAATGATCTGGTAGGGAGAAGTCTGAGGAGTGCATCGGATACTGATATGTCTCCTAGTCAAGTCTTGCAAACAGCTCTAACGAAGTTTGCCGTACGGAGCTATATCTTTTCGGGCAGAAAAACTCAATGGATCTGTCTTTTGGGTTACTTCACAGTGGGGATTCGTTTAGACGCTGCAGTTTGGTCGCATACGGCATAATCAATTGTTTTGTTCTTGTCTAAAAATTTTCAGTGCAGCTCCTGCCCGCCCTGCAAAAAGTCTTGGTCAGGGCAGACCCTGTAAACTCTTGGTTTATTTGAGGCAACCTAGTTCTTTTTGTCTCATACTGACGAAGAAGCGCCATTTTTCATAATCGGCAAAAAATCTGCGCAAAAACACTTTTCGTATGAAAAAATTAGCAAATGTCAAAAATGCTTTTTTTCGTCTTTCGAAAATTCCACATTTGGAAGCCGGGAAATCGAAGTGGGCCTGCTTTGCATTGAAAACAATAGGTACTTTATAAAAAGCAAGATTAGCTCTTTTCTAGGTTGCGCTTCTTGTCGCAATTCAACCGCCACCAGAGAAATGAAGACGAGAATGAAAACGCTACGAATTTTTGCGATCTAATATTTTGCGTGGCAGTGCGACATGCCAGAGGGTATAAATTTGATACACTATTGCCAAGCAAAGTAAATTCTCAAAAATCATTATAGCCTCGGTTAAAGGCAGTGGCTCGGGAAATTTGCGCGAGCTTTCCACACCTACATGGCCTTCTGGATGCGCTGACTCCAGTGCTGTTCATGGATTGTCAAAAAGTGCTTTTTACAGCGTTTTTCTACGCTGGAGATAGCTACGGGATGAGCAAGGGATTCCCCAACATCGTAATTGGCTGCCTGACGATTAAATTACCTTCAAAATGAGTGGAGTTACAGTCTTCTGCAGCCAGTAGCTTTATGGTGGTCCCTCGCGTTCCCCTCTAGCTATCTCCATGGTAGGAAACGCCGTAAAAGGCATTTTTTTTCACTTTTCAAGCAAAGCTGGACTCAGTACATTCAGAAGGCCGTGTGAGTGTGGAAAGCTCGCAGACTCAATTTTCCCGATCCCCTGCCTTTGAACACGGAAGTATTAGCGGCGATCGAGCGATTTACCATTTCACAATGTTTACCCTGCTGTAGCATTTCGCAATACGGATGTCTAATTTTTTAGAGATTTTAATGGATAGCATATGGTAAGCTTTTCTTGTCCATCACCTGCAGGAATGTACACATGACGAGCATAAAAGTGGACGATTGAGAAAAAACAGAAAATGGAGCTCTTATTCGTTATAGCGGTCCGTTGTCTTGCCTTTTGCCCAATTTTTCTTAATTTCATACTCTTATAGGCTCACGTACTTCTTCTTTGTGAATCATACACGAATGCCGACACTACAGGTGAGTGAATTTCTTCTCAGGCAATCTTTTCTTCAGAGTAGCGTTACAAGGTCCAATCAAATGCAATTTCTATCTAAATGCATACAGGAAGGTGATTTGCTTTACGTACAATTATGCAAAAAATAGACTATCGCTTGCGAGTACAATAGTTGTCCTGAGGAACATTAGGCGCATATCATTCGATTTTCCAATTTAAGCGAAGTTGAAAGCAAAAGCTAAAATAATCCAATGCTCACAAAACTGAAAGAGAAATTTGTCTTAAAAAAGATATTACAAAAATTTCAGCTTGCTCACACACATATATTTCACCTCATACATCTATGGAGTTTGTCTTCTCCTTGGCTAGAAATCGAGAAAACAAAACTATCAGGTCTTTAGTGGAGGAATGCTAGGCTTTTCTCACGCTAGTACCCTTTACTCAACCAGATCGGCGGCTGGAAGGCGGGGCTGCGTGACCTAATTAAGGCAAAAGGATGATCGGAGAGCATGTTCGCGAGGGAGGCGCAGACTGCGTCGCGGATAGGTGCAGTCGCCTCCTAGGTCATAAAGCCTCGGCTTCCAGCAGCCAATCTGGTTGAAGCAAAAGATAAGTAATTGTTTATACAAGCTCCTAGAAGTACATTTATAAGATCTCAGGCTTCTGCAACAGCTAGTCTTCAACGAATATCAATTTTAGCTCTGATCATTCAACTTTCTCAAATGGGATCAAATACGATACTTGAGACTAAGCCTTGTGGAAGACTAAAAATTACGTAAAGCTTGTAGCACATAATTCTAATGTGGAAACAGCTCAGCATCGTTGGCAAAAAAACGAAAAGTTTGATTTTTTATTTTTGGGAAAAAAGCACAGCAGCTGTAAATATGGATCTGGTATGCATGCATGAGTAAGAGACTCATGGTTTTTTTTTACTGATTTCGAGTTTTCGGTATTCTACGAATGGTAAATTAGGGCGGCCCATAATTTTTTACCTTTTCTACAACCATCGTCTTTTTGTACCTTTTCTTCAAATGAAATGGCTTGAGTAATCATTCGACAGGGCAAAGCAAGCTCGATGGCCGTGAAGATTCCGGCCAAATCGTATTCCACGCGAAGTTTTGAGCTGAAATCTGGTAGCAGTCAAAAACGAACCTTAGCGTACAAAATCGTGTCTCCGCCCCAAGTAGTCTTGAAAATACCCCATTCAACCTAGCACGTGCCTGACAAATCGAACATTCAATGGCACACTCTGCATTTTTTCCATGGCTAAAAATAAAGAAGTAAATGAATGGGGTAAAATGGCAAACTCCGCCCCTAGAACTCCTGAGCTCCTCCCACACGTTTTCATATAGCTCATACATATAGAAGTACGATAGTGTATTTGTGCCGTTTCTGCTCCAGATCTCGAGAGATGCTTATGTCTGAAAAATTATGGGCACCCTAATAAAACCTATTAATAGTGCAGGAGATGTGAACTGTGGATGGTTTGGTTTCAACCTAATTTGGACAGGACTCATGTTCCAACCTATTTATGAAAAGAGCCAGGCGCGAAATAGTAGAAAAATAATGAAACTTTTCCTCTCATTTAACTGTCTGTTTGCAGATTTCACGGGTATAATTTCGCTTTAGGTGAAAATTGCTTCTTGCCGTTGAAATACAGAACGGAACTCACAAAATCGCATAATGGTCTGCGTCTGTTCGTTGCCAGAGGTTTGCTGGATGAAACTCACAAGAAACATCTCATGTATGGAGTAGTAAGTTTTTTTCTGCATTTTCATCGAGTCGCGAAAAGAAAAGAAAAGATGGAGAGGAGGGTTACTGATGAGCCCAAATTTTTTTTTGGGAGGGGGGGGGGGGAGTTGGCTTATTTTCTAGGGGACAGTTGGTTGGCTGATTGTTAGCATTCAGCGTTTGGCTCGCCTTCCGTCCTCCGTCCCCCCCCCTCCTCCTCTCTACTCTATAATGATTTGTGAAACAAAATTTTGTGAAAAATAAATTTCAGAAATACGACTGTGGCTTGGAAGAAGTGGCCAGAAAAATTGTACATGGAGAAAACTCTGCTGACCATTATGGCGTAATCCGTTTCTCCAGGTAAATCTAATGTTGGTCAAAATTTTTGAATTAAGTCAGTCTTAGAGAAAATCTCGGAAATATTTATGGATCGATAATCGACAGTTTCATTGAGTTGCTCGATGATAAAGAACAGTTGAAGCAGGTCAATTGTTGTTCAGTATTTCTACTCAAATTACACATTTGTTACAAACCTCTAGGCAGTTTATCCACCATCTACGCGTTTTGGCTGCTATTCTGAGATTGAATCTGGAAAGAAGCTCGTGAATGCTGTATGCGTCTACGATTCAAAGTTGGCAAGATTTTGTTCAACTTGATGTTATCTACCTGATTTTTTATGTTTCGAAGGTATGACTCAAATTTCCAAGGGAATGGCCAAGGTCTTTGTATGAAGGATGGTGACTGCATTTATCACGAATCATCGATTTGTCTGGGAGGCCTTTGCTTCAGTGGCAAATAAACCGCAAAGATTGATAAATTCTTACAACTTCTTGCCAAGTCATTCTATAGAAAGTAAACTATCAGTTGTGCAAATACCTTATTCTCATTTGATTTTGAGCAAGTTGATGAGCAAATTTCATAAAAATTGAGTCTTCGTCAAAAAGCTTGGGAAGCTTTCACCAATTTTTAAGAGGAATAAGCAATGCTTCCCTCTTGTATGAAAATGGTCCCTTTCGCGGAAAAAAAAATCTCTATGAGACTTCTGATGCCCCTGAAGAAGGAGAACGCAAAGAAAATTAGTGCAGTCATGCATGTTGTTCAAACTACAAAACCACGTAAGCCACTTTTGCAAAAAACTGGAAAATTCAAAAACTCTTTATCGGCATTTTTGGTATCAAAGGTTTTGATTGCAGTTCAAAATTTTGTAGGAGATATGACTTGTTGGGGTTTTAACCAACAAATGCTTGAGGTTTTCAATATGGTTAGAAGAGATATAACCGCAGAAAAGAATAAGCGCTTGAAGAAAGCGAAAAACATGTACAAATTAGTACTCTGTTTCACTACAGTTGGCGGCTGGAGGGCTGGGCTTCAGTCAACAGAGCGCGTATACGTGCCCTCTAATCGGTCAAACACCCGCCCCCCAGCCGCCAACTCCAGTGAAACAGAGGGTGGGTCTTCAGCTCAATTAGCAATACATCTGACGCTCTCAAGCACAACAATATCATGAAAATTTGCTCAAAACTAATTGGCGCCAATTGTTTATGGTTTTATAATATAATCTGGCATTCCGTTTCCAACCCCAAGTTGGAGCTCCATCGTGCTTGACCTCTCAGGTAGCGAGACTCACCCTTCTTTTGATTCAGACTCGTCTTAGGTTCGCTTCCTACTGTGCTTACCATGTGTTGATGGCCAGCAGATCAAAAATGCGCTTCTATTTTTCGAGCTACATTCACATGCGCACGTCTTTTTTGAACAATGAGTGGTATGAAACAGGCAAATAGTTCATTATCAACAACTCTGATTAGAAGTGCTTGTTTTGAACGATAGAATGTCTTGGATTTATCAGAAGAATGTGGATTCAGCGTCGAATGATGCGTCTTACTGTGTATAATAGCGTATGTCTTATCCCAAATATTAGTCCTCACATACCGTTAGTCAAAACCGTATTCTGTGTGTACAGACATTGTCGATATCGCATTATAGACAAAGGTTTAATTCACCGCTTACTGAGATAAATCGAAAGAGTTTCTGCTTCAAACGCATTAGCAAAACCATAAATTCTGTTTCTTCAAAATACCGCAACGAGCAGACTTTTTTCATTCAAAAAAACTGTGCAAAATATTCTTCTATTTTTTTACCAACGCGTCACCTCTGCTTTGCACAAGTTCGCACTGGTTCTTCTGTCCCTACTCATTCTCGCATGATTCCTTGAAACTACCGCAAATTGCTGACTATTACAAATAAATTGTGAACAACTATTTAATTTTTGAGCTTTTCTTTTTAAGACCGGCGTTGATAGAAGCAACTTTCTTGCAAAAGAAACGAATAGGAATCAGTCAACGTACTGATTTTGGCTTGATAGTAGGGCTACATCTGTGTAAAATAGATGTTACTTGTACTTGTTAGAGTAAATTTTGGGAAAATGGCGAAATCACGCAATCTTTCCGTTTTTGGAGCTTTTTTGCGAAAAAAGATAAATTCTTGTTGATTTTTTGAGCTAAAATCATTAGCTTGCGAATTGCTATTCAAACGGATTCATCATATTGCAAAATGTCTAAACACCGCCTCTCTTCTGCGGGTTAAAACAAACATGGACCGTTTGACTCCCAATTTTGGAGAATCAGCGTATCGGACGAGCTCGTCTTTGAGCATGGTGGAACTACATGCTGGTACCGTATGTTGTGCAAAGAGAGCCTGAGAGCTGAAGCCTGAGACGTTGGCTGCAACTCGCTCTATAAATTTCATGAAAGACATACAGACACACGCACAGAAAGACAAACGTTAGCACTTTATTATAAGTCACGATTTATTACAAAGGTCTATCCATAGGTATAGTCGGTTGTTTTGCAACCCTTAGCAGATCTCGTCGGTTCCTTGTTAGCACGACTTGGATATAGACTTATATCAGTTGTATTTCAACACTTGTTGCCTTTCTCACAAGAATTGGTGTCCCCTCATGACTGTGACAAGCCCCAAAGGCGTTAAGCCCTGAAAGAAAAGTTTTAAAGAGTTTTTAAAAGAGAAAGTTAAAGGAAGCGGCAACAAACAACAACCACCGAGATTCTCGTTGAAAAAAACGAAATGATTTCAACTAAAATTCTACGTTAAAATGTTTACTCACAAGTTGTATCCCTGAATTTTTAAATTACACTACAGTGAAAGTCGAAATATAAAGTCAAATGAACAATACGATAAGTTACTGAGTCCGGCATATCAACATTCAAACTCTGCCCCTTTTCGAAAACTTGTACATTTTGCTGTGTCAACGGATGTGCTGATAATTTCCTAGGTAGAAAGACTTGTATAAATACAACTCAGACAATAGTAGCGGGTAGACAGACACTAGTAAAGAGAAGGCTTTTTTGCATTTCTTTATTTCTAGAAAGGGCTACTAGTTTCTACGAGTTCATGTGCTTGGTTTTTGTTTTCCTAAAAAATGCAGCTCGTGAGATCAAAGCTGTCTGGTCTTTCTTGGACTTCTTGGAGCTTTTCTTACCTTTCGAACTAGTGAGTTCAATCAGATTAGATATCGAATTAATAAAAATTTTTGATGACCACAGATGAAAACTTGGATTGTGTCGAAAGTTATTCTGATGGCTCTTTTGTTAATATCAAAAACATGCTCAGCATTTTCGGATTGATAATCACATATTTGCGCACTTTCGTAACCCAATTTCCAAAGCCTACCTATTTTGAAGCGATAGTCGCTCTTTACCCATTAGGGTTATTGATAGTTATAATCGTGTACTGAAACTCAAATAAGTTAAAGATTAAAATGCTTGGTGCAGTTATGTGGCGCAAATTTTCCCAAAACAGAGGACTTTAGACGATTGGCAATACTCTAGGAAAGAGGATGAAAAAATATGAGAATTGCATTGATTGCAAAAGTTTGCCCAAATTCATATGGCCAACAAAGCACCTTCACTAATCCCATGTAGAATTTCCAAGAACTAGCGAAATTTAGAGATGATATAAATAAAGAGTCGTAAGCATAGTAAGTTGTCTCAGTAATGGCCAGAAGAGTCACCTCGAAAACATACTTGCTAAAAAGGAAGAAATTCTCATCGTGCATTGCTTAAATTGGTTTATCTTTTACGGAACATGCAGTTTGCTCCAAAACGGAGAAAGCTCTTGCACCGACGTGGATTTGCAAGCTTGGCATAATTATTTTGCAATCACAAAGTCAAATAGTTTCCACAGGACGTTTGGTTCTTGTCAAGACCATACATGATGACTTGGTTATACCATTCTGTTTTCGCTAGTTTACGTAGCCTTCTATTTAGCTGCCAATTTCAAAAGTCTTAAGTAAAATCCCATCTTGGTGTTTCTACAACTTATTTTGGAAAGTATTGTCAGTTCACAGTGCATATATCGTCTTATAGCGCGAGTTTTCTTCCGTTCACAATTTACTTTGAATCAAATATATGTTAACAATATAGATTTCACAATATCCTTAGTTTCAAACAAGATCTCTTCTAAATCCTAATGCGAAGTTGATCTCGTACAAAGATTTCACCAGAATAGCCAGAAGGAATTGTCCGAGCTACCTTTTTCTACAAAGCTGCGTCTAAAACAGTTGAAAAAGATGCAACTGAATATTAGTTGTTTGTTCAAACTTCACTAGTAGTTAAAGTTTTAATAATCTCGCTGTAGCTACAAACTTAACGACTAGTGCTCTGCCTTCAAGTAGTACTGTGAGAAATATTCGATTTTGTGGTTATAGAGCAACTACGCAAAGCTTGCAAATTCACGCCAGTGCAAAAGTTCTTTCCTTTTTGAAGCAAACTGTGTGTCCTGTAGCGAATAAGTATGTTTACGCAATGCACTATCAGAATTTCTACCTTTATAGCATGTAATCTTTCGAGATGACTCTTTTGGCGATTACTGACATTACTTGTGAGACGACTACCTATACTCACGACCCTTCATTTACAATACCGCTCACAGAATGTGCAAAATTTCCGTAAATGTCGCAGAATTCCGAGAATTCCGCGAAGGTTCGCGAAATTCCGGGAATGTCGCAACATTCCCGGAATTTCGCGAACCTTCGCGGAATTCTCGGAATTCTGTGACATTTACGGAAATTTTGCACATTCTGTGAGCGGTATTGTATGTCATGTCTGAATTTCGCTAATTCTAATTCTCAGAACTTCTACATGGGACTACTGGGACCACTTTGATGACCTGATGATGGGACAAACTTTTGCAATTAATGCAATCTTTCATATTTTTCAGCTTCTTCCTTAGAGAATTGCCAGTTGTTCAAAAGTGCTCTGTTCTGAAAAAATCGCGCGCCACATAACTGCACCAAGCATTCTCTAACATATTCAAGTTTCAGTACACGATTAAAACTATCGCTAACCTTAATAAATAAATAAGCGATTATCGCTTCAAAATAGGTAGATTGTGAAAATTGTGGTGCGACTTTTTAGAAAATGGTAACTTTTTCTAGGGAAAAATAACGTGCAAAAAACTGCCTTCTCTTTGCTAATGTCCGTCTATCCGCGGCTATGGTCTGAGTTGTATTTATGCAGTTCTTTCTACCTAGCATACATATCATCCATTATGATAGCAGGATGTACGAGTTTTTAAGAAGGGGCAGAATTCTGAGTGTTGATATGCAGGACTCAGTAACGTATGGTATCGTTCATTTGACTTTACGTTTAGACCATAGTAGCGGTAGGGGGTGCAATGGATTTTATCTTTCTCACTCCTGTGCCACAACCCGGATGACAGTGTTTAAGTAAGGCTAAATTGAGAAATTACTTTGAGAGTGAATTATGGGGTCCTTTAGAGTGAACTATGATCAAAAAGCTCTTGTACGTTAACGCCTCAGCCG